GGGTGTCTACCAAGAAGTTGTCATAAACGATGATGACATGGTTACGATGAGTTCCTAAGCGATAACAGGATGCGGCTTGCAGAGGTGTATGTTGAGACCGAGGCGCTCAGTGAAACTCATTATCACTAGTATTCTTATGATGATGGGTTCGCAGGAGGGTACGGATGGGGTGGTAGTTCGAGCAACTACGATGGAGGTGGTTATACAGGAGGTTATGGAGATGGTGGTAGTTCAAGCAACTACGGTGGTGGTAGTAGTGCAGGATGGGTGCCATCGGAAGAATACTCGCAACAAGATCAACCTGCCCCATTTGTTGAGGCCGATGGCGTTCAATGGCCTTCTTGGGGGCCAGAGTGGGCAGAAATCGAGAATACCATTCGATCAGGGCGTACTTCACATGCGCGAGAAGACGATGTTGGTGATGGTGGTCATGTTGATCCTTCTGGCCCGAGCTATCCATTCTACTCGAGCGACGATGATACTAAGGAAGATTTGAGATCAGTGAGCGAGGAGGAAGATACTGACGATATCGACGACGAGGCAACATTTCGTGAGGCACCGACGTCATACTACACACAGGTTCCAACTCAGTTTTTACATAGTCAGAATGATTCCCCCGACTTTGTCTCTATGCTAGTGTATAATCCGACGACCAATTTGGAGGTGGGTATGGCGTTCACATCGAAGGACGTTGTGCAGGATGCTTTTACCAAAGAGGCCTTGAGGCGCAATTTCGAGTGGAAGGTAAAATATTCTGACAGTAAACAACTACATGTCATATGCAAGAATGATGTAGAGGGCTGTATGTGGCAATTGCGGGCTACAAATATGAAGAGAAAGGGTGCCTGGGTGATTCGAAAAGCTGAGACCAACCACACTTGCTCCTCGTCCATACTTTCCCAAGATCATAGGTAACTTAAAGCAAAGAAAGTTGGGAGAAATACTAAGCACCTTATCGAAGCACAATCAGATATCAAGGTCAAAGCTATCATGGCCGAGGTGAATGATCGACATTCTTACACGATAAGGTACAAAAAAGCATGGCATGGAAAATAGAAAGCCATGGCTGAGGTGTATGGTGATTGGGAGGATTCGTTTGCTTTACTCCCTAGACTTATGGCCGCAATGGAGGAGTCCAACCCTGGAACTGTTTTCGTGCCAGTATACAACATTGTATACACTGAAGATCAAGTTCGAGTACAGGAGAAGTTGATGTTTCACCGTCTATTTTGGGCTTTTAAACCATGCATTGACGGGTTTACGTTCTGCACACCAGTTATTCAGGTATTTTAATAATTGATTACTGTTTGAAATATTGTATTCTTTCCTGCTAAGTAAATTCCATACTAATTAGATCCTAATTGTTAATTAGGTTGATGGAACTTTCCTTACTGGGAAGTACAGAGGAACTCTTCTCATTGCCACTAGCGTTGATGGAAACAGGCGGATTTTCCCGCTTGCATTTGCATTAGTGTGAAGGGAGATCAGCTTAAGTTGGGCATGGTTATCTGACCAACTACACGAACACGTGACACAGCTGGAGGGTATTACGATTATATCTGATCGACACGCGGGGATTAGGAATGTCGTGGTTGGTTTTCCTGACGAGTGGGGATGGACATGACGCTGGTGTATTCGACACTGGCTCGCCAATTTCCAGCACAAATTTGGGAAGAAGAAAGACATAAAAATCAATTGTGGCATGCAAGTACTAATGTCCTTTAATGCGAGTTAACATGACCGATCCCCAACTCTTTTCCCCTATTGCGTCCCAATCACCAAGGAGCAATGGCAACCACATGCCTTGAATCCACCTGTTTGACTTGTCGGGGAACAGAAATCCACCGATCAAACCAATGAGGTAGATGCGTGCATAGCACTTCACTTTATCTTCCGGCGTCTCGTTGTCGATGGCCACCTCATTTTGGATGTGAGTAACGAGCCACGGGACCGACACTTGTCCCGCATTCAATGGTGGATGCCCCGTCCTTGAATTGGTGTGGTGGTCGGCATGTCAAAGCCCAAACAATCACGAATGAGCGGCCCCCAACCTCCTTCGGGTTTGGTGGTGGTACCAATGATGGCCTCTCCAGAAATCGGCAGCCCGGTGAGGATCGCGACGTCTCTGAGGGTGATCGTCATTTCCCCCTCCGGAAGGTGGAACGTATGGATTTCGTGGCGCCATCGCTCCGCCATTGCCGTAAGCAGATCATCGTCGATTTCAATCCGCATGAAATGCCGCAACATACCCAACCCGGTCCTCTCTATATAGGGCGCCAACCGATCATGCCAAGCGGGCAAGTTTGTGGTCCCTTTATCAAGACGGGAATAAGTGATTCCTACAAAAAAAAAAAAGGAAAACATCAATGTGTTAGTTTAAAGAAAGCAAAATAAAACCTTATAAAATAATAAAATAAAGCAAAATAAATCATCAATTTACCGGATTGTTATCCCAAATAGCACGAGAGCGATGTGCTTCTTGATCGGTTAAATACCTCGTATCTCTTGGGCCATAATGGATATAGAATCGAGGATCGTATATCTCGACACCCATCTATTAAAAAAAAGTAATGAAATCAGATTGTTTTGATTAAAAAAAATCATAAAATCAAATTGTTTGGATTAAAAAAATCACAAAAAAAAAAACCAAGAACCTACCCGAAGATTTTCTTCGTCCATTTTTTGGCGGAAGCCGGACAGAGGTTCAACGGGTTTATAAGGGACGGGGGCTTTAGGGTATAACTGTAGTAATTCTTTCTGATGTGGAAGATTGGACTTAGCCGCAACCACAGGGCATACTTAGAACGAGACTATAGTGGATGGATTGAGGGAGAAAGAAGTGTAAATGTGGTGGTATGATTTGGAAGGAGGGGGGGGGGGGGGGGGGGGGGGGGGGAAGAGTTCTATTTATAGGGGAATGGATCTGCCAAAAAATTAATGGAGAGCAATCACCGCCTTTGACAAACACGGTGAATGCACGCTTTTATTGAAAATGGTGAAGGGCGCAGATCGAGTGACGTGGGCTGCTGTGAGGCATCGGATATGGGAAGAAAACCACGATCCGCGCCTCACCGCATCCAACGGCAACAGTGAGCGGCGACGCGACGCGGATCGCTGACGTGCACAAACGCGGTGCATTCACCATGTTTGTCTAACACGGTGAATACCCCGCGTTTGTCCACGTCAACGATCCGCGTCGCATTCATCGTGGCCGTGCGATACGGGAAATATTTCACCGCGTTTTATTAAAACGGTGATGTATTCACCGTTTTCGTTTAAGGCGATGAATGGTTCCTTCGTTATTCACCGTTTTCCTTAACGACGATGAATACGTCATCGTTTTAATTTAAAACGGTGAAATGTTCACTGTGTTTGTCTAATGCGGTGATTATATTCACTGCGTTAGACAAAAACGGTGAATGTGAAACATGTGTATTTTTGGAATTTTTTTTATAACTTATGTATTTTGAGAATTTTTTTAAGAACTAGTGTACTTTGAGATTTTTTCCGGGTTATTGTCAATTGGCTTGTCATGACCATAATAGAGATTAGGGATTTGAGAGGGAGATTGAAATAATCTGACAATACTTTGTTAAATGGTTTATTGATAATTCCGATGAAATATTCGAATAACAATATATGACCGTTTGAAGTAGATTAGGAGTGGTACGCTAGGGTCAGCCGCAAACCGTGCTGATTTTACAGTCGTTCACTAGCTTCGGCCGTGATCCGAACTCTTCGGAATTGGATCGCTCCAGTGCCAAGCGAACTACTTACTTCGCTTTACTGTGCATCGAACTGCGCGAAACTTAGGTATTTGAATATTTTTTGTAAAGTTATGTATTGTGTGAAATTTTTTTGTCTAATATAGATATTTTAGGATTTATCCCTTTTGGGAGCAAGTAGGTTGTCAAACCGGTTTATACCGGTGTGCCGGTTTTGAAAGTGGAATGGTTTGACCGTGGTACAACCAGTATTCACGCCGGTTGTGCCGGTTTTAATAAAATATATGAGACAAATGAAAATCCTCATTTCCAAATATATTAGTCATCATAAAGCAATTAGAAAAATTATTTCACACAAAATAATTTATAGCTAAGAATTGATAACTAATACTAAACAATTAGATGCTTCAAAATAAAAGTATATAAAATGAATTTTATTAATTATAATGATTTGTGTAAAATTAAGTATTAGATATATAATATATAAGGTTAATATATACAACAAAGTTGCTTGTAGCCTACTGGTGTATAAGTGAGATTAAAATAAACATGATGTACTTGGTTCAAATTCTAAGAAAGGTGTTTATTTTTGGATAAAATATGTGTAACATTGAATTCCGGTTTCTGGTCTAACCGACTGGAATTTCCGAAATTGACCGGATCTGACCGGATTTTACCACAGTTAAATACCGGCCTCTTTGGTTTGGTGACCGGTACCGGTTGTACCCGGTTGAACCGGCCGGCACGAAACCGGTTTGACAACCATGAGCAACCGAGCAAAGCAATTATATACTTCTCTCTCCCACGATTGCTCCATGTGTATGAATTGACAATGGAAATGACCATTCGTTGGTCCATGCAATTCATTTCATGTATCATTCGTGTCTTCAACCTTGCTGTCAAAATTTGTTATTCAACTCATTATTTTGGTGATTGTGCCTTCACATCACACCAATTCTGGGAGTTCACTTTGATAATTGATTGAGTTAAAGTACCATATGTAAGTGCTTAGGGTAGACTTTATTGCAAATTATCAATCTATCAGTTACTACTGCATGTGATAAATGGACAACTTAATTCAAATGGCCCATGCATCACTTCATGCATAACAAAATCACCATTCAACAAGTTGCTGCAATGTGCTTGTCGTGGATATCCTCTCTCTCACACTCGCATATCTCAAAAATATATTTCGTCAAAAGAAAGAAGAAGAAAAAAAGACATATCACTTGCAATCGAGGCTTATAAAAGCCTTAATTACCGGCACCTCACTCGCATAACAAAATCAATCAAACCAGTTTTCCTTCTCTACTCTCAACTCCAGACTCCCAAAGCCATTATGATGGAGAAGGTGGCTGCTCCTTACAACAGCGCATACTTGTATTTCCTCCTTCCCCTTGGCTTCGTCTTGTCCGTCATTCTTTACTTGACCTCCGCCCACCGCCGCGGAGGCCGGAAACTTCCTCCAATCGTGCCGGGTGCCCTCCCAATCCTGGGCCACATCAAACTCATGAAATCCCCATCCCACCAAACTCTCATGCGCCTGGCTCAACAACACGGCCCCATTTTCACCCTCCGCCTGGGGAGCCAGCTGACCGTGGTGGTCACCTCAGCCTCCTTGGTGGAGGAATGCTTCACCAAAAACGACATCGCCTTGGCCAACCGGCCCGGCTTCATCATGGGAAAGCACATGGAGTACGAAAACACCTCCATCACCCAGATCTCCTACTGCGACCACTGGCGCCACCTCCGCCGCATCTCCGCCGTCGAGATCTTATCCAACCAGCGCATCAACGGCTTCCAACCCATCCGCCTCCAGGAAGTCCATCGCCTTATCGCCAACCTCAGCGGAGGAGAAGTAGGACGACGAAGGCGCGTGGAGATGAAGTCTGCATTCAACCAGCTGGCCTTCGACGTCATGACGAGGGTTGTGTCCGGGAAGAGGTACTACGGCGGCGGCGGAGATGACATGGAGGCGACGCAGTTCACGGATATAATGAAGAAGGTGGCAGAGTATGGCGGGGCCACTAATCCGGTGGATTTCGTGCCGTTGCTGAGGTGGTTGGACCGCGGGAAGTACGAGAAGGAGGCGATGGAGCTGGCCGGAAAGACTGATAAGTTCTTCCAAGGGTTGATTGATGAGCAAAGGAGAACCAAGGAAAGTACCAACTCCGTCATTGAACGCTTGCTCAAGTTGCAGGAGTCCGACCAGGAGAATTACAGTGATCAGATTATCAAAAATCTTGTGCTGGTGAGCTCATTTTGGTCACTTCAATTCATACTAGTTTGCATAGTGCAGTTTAATATGTCGTTCAAGGAGATAGCTTTGAAATGTATGTAATTAACAACTAACTAATTTCTAAACATGCATGCACGTGAACGTGCGTTCATGGTGATGTTCCCTACAGGTGATGGTGTTGGGGGGAACTGAAACTAATGCAGTAACATTGGAGTGGGCGATGTCATGCCTTCTCAACAACCCCGACAAACTAGCCAAGGCAAGAGATGAGATCGACAAGCAAATTGGCCAAGAACGCTTACTAGACGAGTCCGACATTCCCAACCTCCCCTACCTTCAGAACATCATCTCCGAGACCTATCGAATGTACCCAGCTTCTCCACTCCTAGTCCCGCACTTTTCCTCCGAAGATTGCGTGGTCGGAGGGTACCTAGTTCCGGCCAACACAATGGTATTGGTCAATGCATATGCTATTCACAGAGACCCTACTCTTTGGGAGGATCCCATGAGCTTTAAACCCGAGAGACATGCTGCTGGTGCTGGAAAAGACGGTGCTAAGATTCTGACTTTTGGGATGGGTCGAAGGGTTTGTCCTGGTGTGGGTATGGCCAATCGTCTTGTGGCCTTCACTCTTGGGACATTAATCCAATGCTTTGAATGGGAAAGATTCGGTGAGGAAAAGGTTGATATGACTGAAGGCAAAGGGATCACAATGCCTAAAGTTAAGCCGCTGGAGGCACTCTGTGTAGCTCGCCCAGTCGTGAAGAACATTGTTTCCTGAAGATGCATGCATGGGCTGCAGGGCCCGCCCCTCCTCGAGATCAGCTCATCGCCACATCATTGTCACCGTCATTACATATTACCTAATGTAATAATTGTGGGATCGGCAGAATAAAGAACGTGAGTGCAATAATAATAACTATAGGTTTAGCAACCAGCCGGAGGATGCTTTACCTATATATTTGTAACTTTCTATAAGTTTGCAGCAGTTGTGGTTTGGTGTGAATGTTAATGAATGGAAATAAAGCTCAAAGCCAATTCGACTATGCTAGTTAGACGAGTTCTAACCAGCTGAATACTAGGATAATTCCCTAAATACACATAAAACTAAAACAAATTTCTAAACTACCACACTTTTAAAAAAAATTCCCAAAATACCTAAGTTTAGAGTGGTTCGAGTTTGAAAAACTCGAACTACTAACCGGTTCGAGTGTAGGAGACTCGATCTAGTCTTAGATCGATGATATAAGCCTCGAACCATGTGGGGTTGAAGTGGTTCGAGTTCAGTGAACTCGAACCACTCCTTTGAAATTTCCAACCACCTTAACTTTGTGCTCGGTTATCCGATCGTAGCAAACTTTTTTTTCATTTCGCATAACTTTTCGAGGACTACAACTTTTATAATAGAAATATTTTCAGAATATGTGTGAAAATGTGAACTCGAACCACTTCAGCCCCACATGGTTGGAGGCTTATATCATCGATCTACGACTAGATCGAGTCTTCTACACTCGAACCGGTTAGTAGTTCGAGTTTCTCAAACTCGAACCACTCCAAACTTATGTATTTTGTGAAATTTTTTTAAAAGTGTGGTAGTTTAGGAATTTGTTTTAGTTTTATGTTTATTTAGAGAATTATCCCCTAAATACTACTTGTAGCTAGCATAACTCTATCATCATCCCACTCATCCTGCCTATATTGGAAACTTTTCTTGCCTTAAATTGTTTGAGAAGAAGACTGTATATATATCCGAGACCAAATATTCCAATAAATGAGTATTCATAGGCATAAAAAAGTATTCAAAGTGCTCATAAAAAAATATTCGAAAACGTCGAAGAAGTATTAAAGATATCGAAGAAGTATTCAAACGTGTCAAAAAATTTGGATGTTTTTTTCAATGATGAGAGAGCATGTTGGTGGACATTAAATGTCAATTTCTATCACCAGCTTGAAAATCCTCCTTTAATGGGCCAATAAAGTGCCAATTTCTCTCTCAAAAGTTGGGTTGGTTTTCCATAGTTGAGCTCAGCTCCTCTCATGTTTTGTCCCTTCCCCAAGGCACTCCATTATGGGTCTTCGATCTAAGCTTATGGAGAGTTAGTCACATATATATAGCCGTGTGGGAACATGTTCACTCTTTATGTCGTGAGCAGCATAGCCAAGATGTCTCAAAGCTTATTTGTGTACTAATATAATAGATCAGGTAGGGTGATTACACTTTGGTAGGATTACTTGGATATGTTAATGATGATGCAAATTATAACCCTAATACGTAACATTGTGAATGGGGCGGCGCGTGTGCTGGCGTATTTTTTGGGCCGGCGCATGTGGGGCTGTTTTTGGGCCACGCAGTTGTGGGGCGGTTTTTTGGGCCGCGCGTGGGGGTGTTATTTTGGGTCGCGAGTGTGGGAGTGGTTATGGGCCGCGCGTGCGGGGCGTTTTTTTCGGGCCGCGCTGGTGCGGGCTTTTTTTTGGGCCATGCGTGTGGAGCGTTATTTTGGGCCGCGCGTGTGGAGCGTGTTTGGCCGCGAGTGTGGGTCGGGTTTTGGACCGCGTGTGTGGGGCATTTTTTTGGGCCGCGCGTGAGGCCCGGGTTTTGGGCCGCGTGTGTGTGCCGGGTTTTGGACCGCTCGTGTGGGGCGTTATTTTGGTCGCGCGTGTGGAGCGTGTTTGGGCCGCGCATGTGGGGCAGGGTTTTGGGCCGCGCGTGGGGTCGGGTTTTGGGCCATCCGCGGGGCCGAGGTTTTGGGCCGGCCGCGGGGCCGAGGTTTTGGGGCGGCCGCGGGGGCCGGGTTTTGGGCCGACCGTGGGGGCTGAGTTTAGGGTTCAGGGTTCAAGTTTCGGGATTCTGGGTTCAGGGTTTAGGGTTGAGGGTTTAGGGTTCATGGTTTAGTGTTTAGTGTTTAGGGTTTAGGGTTCAGTGTTTAGGGTTTAGGGTTCAGGGTTCAGGGTTTAGAGTTTAGAGTTTGGGGTTCATGGTTTAGGGTTCAGGGTTTAGGTTTTGGGATTCCAGATTTCCCCGGTCTGCTTCTCTTGATCCTGGCTTGAGTCGCATTGAGAGAGATAGGGGACGTCTTAGAAGACCAGTTGACCTCGTAAGTTGTTATATGATCTAGGAAATCCTCTACCGATGATGGGTCCCGGCCGGAGAGTATAAATCCCGGGTCGGGTATTATTGAACCACACCCGGGATTAATCCCTTACTCGATGCGGAGCGTTTTGAAATCCCCGACTCGTCACCCAAAATCCCGGACCTGGGATTCTAACCGGGGATCGTGATTTCTCTGTTTCTTAAGGTAAAAAAGGGAAAAATTGAAAGGGTTCCGAGTTTTAGAGAAAGAAAGTGATTCCTAGAGAGAGAAAGCGACGAACGAGAGTTCTCAAGTGCCATAGATCGATCTTCGTCACCATTGGAGCTCGGCCAACACTTGGAGAAGTGCCGATTGACGACCAGGAGCAGAAACCCGTCCTTCACAGCATGATTTCTGCATCTGAGCTAGCTTTTGCTTCTCTCTCCATGGAGTAACCTCCTCATTCATCTGGGTATGGAGAATCCTAGATTTGTATGTTAGGTCTGATTGTATGAACCCAAGTAGGGAATTCATTGGTTTGATTATATCAATTGTTGTTTGAATTGATGAATGACATGAATCCTGATCACATTCCTGTCGTTTATGCTTTGACCTAGAATGATAATATCTGCCTAGGTTGATAGAGTACCCTTGATTGAAGGTAGTGAATTGACGACTTTAGTCGAGGAGTCAATTCACTATTATGTACTGGATTTACTCCAGTAGAGGAGGTTTTGTTCGTTAGGGCCTCAATCCGTTTACTCCGGTGGAGGTTAGTCGCCCGCTGGAGACTCAGATTGAGAGGGTCTGGAGACCTTTAGTCGAGACTGCAGACTGTTTAAGAACCTCCCGCAGTATATCTATCTTTGAATTTGGACTTGGTGAATTACAATTCAGTTTAACTGCAGTCTAGAGGGAACCATATCCGGGTGACCTCTTTCAACTTGAAAACAACCATTTACTGCTTTGTTTGTTTGTTTGCTAAGATCGTCACTACATTTTCACTGCTAAATAATAATGATTCACGGAGTAGTCAGCATACTTAGGACCCGGGTTGACATTAAAACCCAAACCCGCTATACTACGCTCTAGTGAGTGGTTACACTTGGCCATTTTCTAGTGTGACGGTAAAGGCGAGTCAATGATTAAGTCCATTAAGCACCGAGTTTGCGGATTTATTCCGGTTCATTTTTTGGCAAATTCCAAAGGGGTACCATCACATATTTCAGGCGATTTTTCCGGAATGCCATTTTCTTTCGATTCTAGAGACTACAGATCATGGAATCAGGCCGAGGTTATTCTCCATCGATAATGAAGTCTATTGATCTTATTCTCGACGGATGATAAATCCATTAAGCACCGATTTGGGAAAATTTATTTTCAGATGACATTTCATAAATTATGGGGCGGCAAAAAGCCATTTTCCTTGGATTTTGAAGGCTACATGTCACGGATTTGGCCTAAAGCTATTCTTCAACAATGATTATGTCCATTAAGAACCGATTTGGACGGATTTATTCCGGGTCAATATTTGGCAGATTCCAAAGGGGTACCATTACAGATTTCAGGTTATTTCTCCGAATAGCCATTTTCTTTCGATTCTGGAGACTACAGATCATGGAATCAGGCCGAGGCTATTCTCCACCGATAATGAAGTCTATTGATCATATTCTTCACGGATGATAAGTCCATTAAGCATCGATTTGGGCCAATTTATTTTTGGATTGCATTTTTGTAATTTATGGGGCGACGAAAGGCTATTTCCATTGGATTTTGAAGGCTAAAGGTCACGGATTCGGCCTGAGACTATTTTTCAACGATGATTAAGTCCATTAAGCCCAGATTTGGGTGGATTTATTCCGAGTCAATTTTTGGCAGATTCCAAAGGGGTACCATCACAGATTTTGGGTGATTTTTCCGAAATGCCATTTTCTTTCGATTCTAGAGACTATAGATCACGGAATTAGGACGAGGCTATTCTCCACCGATAATTATTTCTATTGATCCTATTCTCCACGGATGATAAGTCAATTAAGCACCAATTTGAGCCAATTTATTTTCGGATGGCATTTCTTTAGTTATGGGGCGAAGAAAGACCATTTTCTTTGGATTTGAAGGCTATAGGTCATAGATTTGGCCTGAGGCTATTCTTCAACGATGTTTAAATCCATTAAGCACCGATTTGGGCAGATTTATTCCGGGTCAATTTTTGGCAAATTCCAAAGAGGTATCATCACAGATTTCGGGCGATTTTTCTAAAATGTCATTTTCTTTCGATTCTGGAGACTTCAGATCACGAAATCAGGCCGAGGCTATTCTTCACCGATAATAAAGTCTACTGATCCTATTCTCGACGGATGATAAGTCAATTAAGCACCGATTTACGCCAATTTATTTTCGAATGGCATTTTCATAATTTATGGGGCGTCGAAATTCCATTTTCTTTGGATTTTGAAGGCTATAGGTCACGGATTCGGCCTGAGGCTATTCTTCAACGATTATTAAGTCCATTAAGCACTGATTTGGGCGGATTTATTCCGGGTCAATTTTTGGATGCTTCCACAGGCGTACCATCACAGATTTCGGGTGATTTTCCCGAAATGCCATTTTCTTTCGATTCTGGAGACTATAGATCACAGAATCAGGCCGAGGCTATTCTCCACCGATAATGAAGTCTATTGATCCTACTCACAACGGATGATAAGTCCATTAAGCACCGATTTGGGTCAATTTATTTTCGGATGGCATTTTCGTAATTTATGGGGCGACGAAAGGCCATTTTCTTTTGATTTTGAAGGCTACTGGTCACAAACTCGTCCTGAGGCTATTCCTCAACGATGATTAAGTCCATTAAGCACCGATTTGGGCAGAATTATTCCGGTTCAATTTTTGGCAGATTCCAAAGGGGTACCATCACAGATTTTGGGCGATTTTTCCGAAATGCCATTTTCTTTCGATT